GATCTTCTTAGCTTTAACCATGTGGATGATAATACGTTCGAAGAATTGGTAAATAATAATTGATTCTTAATATTTCATTTATTAGAAATCTTGGTAAATAAACCCATCTGTATAAATAAATTTTGTTGTCACTGTAAATGCAGGTAAATTACCTAGTGTACCTAGGAGGTGTTAATGCTGTAGATTGCGCAGCGATCTATTTTAGGCATGTTTTTTCTGGGGATGAAGAAGTATCACCGCACATTTCATGGCTTGGAAAACCGTCACTAAATCTAACCGCTCTATCCCGAACAAAATTTGCCGACGCCTGTGAAGGTTTGCTCTGCATAAACGTTAATTTCGATAATTTTTTGTTTAACACCTGATTTAATTAAAATTATCAATCTCATTTTTTTACCTTATATCTTAAAACTAAACTGATTTTTTTTTTCATTGCCATTAATTTTTTTATACATCGATGATTCACAGCATTTATTTTTATTGATTAAATAATTATTCTAACATGGATACACATTAATGCTCAACAAAATATAATATTCAGCAATTACATGTTTTTCTAAATTTTACATTCGTTGAATTTCCTTCAAGATAAACATGACATCCTATACAATATTTAAAACTTTAAATTTTTCATGTATTTTGTATTTTATTTTTGTTTTATAAATAGAGGCAATGAAAATCAACAATAAAATAGGTAGCAACCGAGGTGATTTTGTGGATGGAATGTCAAAAGCCTTAAAAAGTTTAAAAGAAAGGAGACGAAGAAAATTTTTAACTCGCAGTATAAGAGAGAATTTAGAAGATGAAAATATTGAATTAGATGGCCTAAATGACCAAGAAGAAATAAATGAAACCCAATATGAGGAAGAAGAATTAGGAAATTACCGTGAGAATAACGAAGTTGATAATGCCGAGGAAATTGATGAGCCAGAGGGTGAAAATAATGAAGAAGATGAAGTTGAGGAACAATTTCCATCAGATACTTTTGATGTTTTTGATGAACCTTCTCCATAAAAAAAAAAAAGTAAGTCTAATTAATAAAATCAATTTTAATAAATTTTCTTTCAATAATTGTTACATGGTTTTGCTCATGAAATAAATTATTACAGGGTAAGCTCAAACTTCTATAAATCCTGAAAACGAGATTGGAGTTAACTTTATACTTCATTGTGGCAGTGCACTTTAATTTAAGTTTCAGTTTTTTTACTCAACTTTATTTATGTATCATACTGTGAACAAACATTTGTGATATTATAATTTTAATTATCGCATAGACATACGGTTTTGATTATCTTGTAAAATACAGTGCAACATTGCTGTACTTAAAAATATAAATTATTTTATATGTTACAACTTTTTTTTTTATTTACAAAATGTAATACCCGCAGTAATTATTTCCTAATAAAAAGAGGTTATGTCGGCTACACACGGCATGCATACCACCTCGCGTGAGCGCACACTGCAGCCTTGGTGTACGCACAATGCAAGCAGTCTGACAGCACGACGTGCTCTTTCCACACCATGGTTGCAGTGTGCGCTCAGAAATTACGACAGCTGGACGTCACGGTGCTTCCACGCGTGCTACACGCCGTGCTCCACGATGCGGTCACAGTGCCGTCACGATGCTATCTGGGATAGTTACCTTTAATATTTAATATTATTTGGAATCCGCTTATAAGGAGAAAACGAGATATTTTTCTGCTTTTACTGTATTGTGTCTATTTTAAAAACATCTTTTTTAATTTGGAAATAATGATTAATTGCTGCGCCCTAACCACGCAGGAAAGGAACAACACTAAAAGTAACTAGATAAGAGTTACCAGATATTCTCATTCTCATTCATTAATTAAATTCATTATTTACAAATTTTGTGACATTTAATTACAATGATTTATGCACCTCCGTAATCTGCAAATGAGAAGTCAGCGAATCGTACACTCAAAGAAAAAAACCAGAATTTTTACCGTGATAATCCTTACAAAAATTACCGTGCAGACGGTAATCGTGGAACAAAGCAACATCTTGGGACTTTTTGACCTAACTTGGTCAATTTTTACCGTGCTGAACAGTAAAAATCGTAGGGTGCCCAACAAAAATTCCCCCCACTGCTCTTAAATATAGATAGACTAATGCAGTGTAGCATCATTTGTTCAACTCATCCAGTGTTGGGTGAGAAGGATATGATTTTGCATTTTTCTCACTAGGACCTATATATAGTTACAGATCCTAGTGAGGAAAATGCAAAAGCTGAAAAGGAGGAGGGAGGAAGCCAGTGATTCTCCCCAAATGTGACTGGCAAACTTGCGGAAAATTCAATTTGGCTGTATGGAGCAAGACGCAAATCCCCACATAACTCGACACTATTTCATGCACAATAACTTAATAAACTAATCCCAAGCTATTTTACCCAATAACCCAACGGGCCAATAAGCAGCCTCATGAGTTAGAACGAATAATAAAATTTATTAATTAACAAAGCAAGTGCCAATCCCCACACGATCCGAGACGCTCACTAGTTGCTTTGATTATTTATGATTAATGGAATAATAACGTAAGTGCCTATCCTCACACAACCCGGGGGGCTTACTGGTCGCTTACTTAATTTACCATAAATAAAATAATAACGCAATCGCCAATCCCCACACGACCCGAGGCGCTTACTAGTCGTTTTAATTATTTATGATTAATAAAATAATAACGCAAGCGCCTATCCCCACACAACCTGAGGCGCTTACTGGTCGCTTACTTAATTTACTATAAATAAAATTATAGTTATTATATATGGTAATAATTGTATACATCGTATTACATCGTTATTATATTTATTGTATCAATAATTTAAGCGTTCAGTAAGTGCCTTGGGTCGTGTGGGGATTGGCGATTGCGTTATTATTTTATTAATCATAAATAATTAAAACGACTACTAGTAAGCACCTCAGGTCGTGTGGGGATAGGCGCTTGCATGCATTATTATTTTATTAATCATAAATAATGAAAACGACCAGTAAGCGCCCCGGGTTGTATGGGGATAGGCACTTGCTTTGTTGATTAATAAATTTTAATATTCGTTCAAACTCATGAGGCTATGCTTATTGGCCCGTTGGGTTATTCGGTTAAATAACTTGGGATTAGTTTATTAAGTTATTGTGCATGAAATTGTGTCTAGTTATCTGGGGATTTGCGTCTTGCTCCATATAGTTAAGTTGTATTTTCTGCCAGTCACATTTGGGGAGAATCACTGGCTTCCTCTCTCCTCCTTTTCAGCTTTTGCATTTTTCTCACTAGGATCTGTAGCTACCCTGGTAGCACAGTCTTTGCAATTCTAACGTACTTCTTGGCAAACAGTTCTTGCACAAGATTTACATAGACAGCGAAATTGTGTAAGTCTGCATCTAGTCTGCTTCCAAGATCTAACGTAATTCTGTATTCTGATGCACGACAGGTAAGCAAGACTCTTGCGTAAGAAGTGCACAAATCTGACGATCAGTCGAGTGCGTTATTTATCTTAATTTGACGCACTTCTGATTGTGGCAGATTTGCGCAAAATATGGGTGCAGGCGCGTGCGCAAGACTCTTGCGTAAGAAGTGCGCAAATCTGATGGTCAGTCAAGTGCGTTATCATTCTGACTTGAGGCAGTTCCGCTAGTAGCAGATTTGCGCAAGATTAGCGTGCGGGCGAGTGCACAAAATCCTTGCGCAAGAAGTGCAGAAATCTGACGATCAGTCTAGTGCGTTTTTTGTCTTGACTCGACGCACTCCTGATTGCGGCCGATTTGCGCAAAATTTTCGTGCAGGTGAGTACACAAGTAAGTAAGTATATATATAGGTCCTAGTGACAAAAATGCAAAATCATATCCTCCTCACCCAACACTGGACGAGTTGAACAAATGATGCTACACTGCATTAGTCTATCTATATATAAGAGCAGTGGGGGGAATTTTTGTTGGGCGCCCTACGATTTTTACTGTTCAGCACGGTAAAAATTGACCCAGTTAGGTCAAAAAGTCCCAAGATGTTGCTTTGTTCCACGATTACCGTCTGCACGGTAATTTTTGTAAGGATAATCACGGTAAAAATTATGGTTTTTTTCTCTTAGTGTACAGGCATAATTGGATTTCAACCCAATTTAGCACTTGAAACGAAGGTTTTCATATTTCAGCGCCGCGCCTATTTTTGACCTTTTTTCTTGCAAATATCTCGCAAACTATTGATCCGCAAATAAAAATTCAAGTAGAGGATGAATCCACAAGTAAGGAGGAATTGTTCAATTTCTGAATAGTTGCAAAATCATAATATTTAATATTTGCAGGTGCTAATTTTATAACACGACATTTGTGAGTGTGCGAGAGAGAAAGACTGGTTGCGTTCGAATAAATCGTATTCGTATCCCAATTTTATCCGAATTAGGGCCAGCATAGAATGGGGATGCGATTGGGATATTTGGAATACGAATACGATTCATTCAAACGCAACCATTGGAGCTATTCATATAGACTTTTTTGCTTATTTCATTGTAAACGTTCATATTGAAAAAGGGGTTCCACAGTTTCGCTTAACTCAAATGGAGTGAACAGACTGAACAGACCTATACTGTGTTCTCTGTCAGTCAACTTGGTTGAGACCACAGGCCATGGGCTTTGTTGTTTGTTGCCTGATGGAAAAAGAGGTATAGGTCTGTTCAGTCTGTTCACTCACTTTGAGTTAAGCGGAACAGTGGAACCCCCTTTTCAATATGAAGGTTCACAATGAAATAAACAAAAAATGTCTATGTGAATAGCTCCATTTAAGGACTCAACTGACTGCTCTCGTCTCTCGTTTTTCCTCTCTTTCTACATGAGCTTAACTGCCCCAGCTGCTAATGAGCGGTCTATTCTTTTTAAGTCTATGCCATTCACCCATTAGAATTTCCGTCTCCTACTCTCCTTTCAAAAGGAGAGTCTCCTCTTGAATCCTCCGCGGTCTATGCTTCTGTCTGCGCAATACTGCAAAATAGTCTTCATTGAAATGTTGTAGATAAAGCCTTGTTTGGAGATGGATCGTAATCTTTGTTTTGTTGCAAGTGTAGAATAAATGTAGCTGCCATTTTCTGTGATCAATGGATATTTTAACACCACGCATACAGTTTTATTAATATTAAAAACGACGTAACAGCAGTAAAAATGATTCGGGCGGGTAATTAAGTTGATCGAGTGTACTGCAGTATGAGCTGAATATATTGAGTTGATCTATCTGCAGTCAGCTTATTGAAAATGTTAGTGTTTACAATAAATTTTGCGAGGAGTTTAAGATTACTTTATTTCAGTGTAAGTTTTATGGATTAATTCTCTATTTTCACCATAAGCTCCAGTTTTTGATTTGGCATACTGGTTCGTTTAGTAATGTTTACAAAAAAATTACACATTTATCAAGCACATTATTTTAGTATATTCTTAGTTGTACTGTATCTGAAACAGATTCTAGTTACTCATTATTCTATGACTAATCTCTTGTTTTAATAATTTTCTGCTCTATGTCAAAGCGGACATACTACTTACTACATCGTGTTCTGTGTATGCTGTTTTTATGTTTTTGATACTTCCACTAACACAAAGTGGCATGGAGAAGCATGACTAAAAGTTTAATTTGCTGCCTTTCAATTCACATAGAGTATATTTGAATGAACTTTCTTGCTTAAATGCAGATTCAGAAATTTTTTTTTCTTCATTAGTAAATTTATGTTCGTAGTAGTTGATTAGTTTGTATCTATTAGTTTAATTTTTCACCAGCTGGCATAGATTGATCTTCCATCTGACATAGCCTTAAATTTTTTTTATCTGTACAATTTCTATAAAGCATTGAAAAATTATATGTTCTTATCCCTCTAATTAAAGTTATTGAATACTAAAAGGAAAAATTTATTTTTCGTACTTATTTTTTGACAGCAAATTTGGAATATGCATTCAAAAATTTCGCACTTCAAAACTGATTGACATCTAATAGCAGGTGGTTTTTAAAATGCTGAAAGTAAATATTGTTACAGCAGGCGATGTAAACAAGTATTCATACTTTAAAGTTATGTTTTAGCTGTTACTAGGGTTGTTGAAAAAATGTATCATTGATTCTAGAGTGTAGTGTGGTTTCAAACAAAAGTATGCTTAACAAACTGTGGATTGCTCTTCAGATTAGACTCGTACTGTGCAGATATACGTTGACTGAGTAGGTGGTATACTTTTGATTTAGATTATCAAGTGTATATACCTCGTGCAGAGTTGTTTCAGGTCGTTTACATGAACAAATATTTTTTATGTCATTCTACATGCATGAGAACCTGTTAGAAAAAAGTAGAATTAAAAATGATACCAGATATCTGATTAACTTAATCACAGAAAAACATTCTCTTATTAGTTTCATTAACGTATTAAGTATCCAATAACAAGGAAAATAGGAGAAAACGTAGTGAATGCAAAATACATTTTCTACTTTTAAATAACTGAGTAGTATGAAAGTAAAATTACTTCAAAATTTTTATTGTTTTTTGTAACGTCATCTTTTGTATGTAAATCCTATTTTTTTGTTATGTCAGAACAGTTGATACCATTTATTGACGAGTTTTCATAGGTACATTGGTGCAAATTGTTTAAAATGTGCTAAGGCTTGGTCATGGCTACGTTGACACATAAGTATGTTGAACCATATGGTAGTAACATGTAAAACGTTACCAGTGGGGTTTCACAGTTAGAGAAATATTGGGTTTTTGTAGAAACTCACTTAGCACTCAGAAATAAATTCTGTATTTATTCATGAAATTTTTACCCAGAGGGCTTTTAACCCTGATCATTAAGATCTGAAAGTCGAGATGCCATACCTACAGAGCCATCTTATGACTTAAATATATAAGATTCTTATTATCACTTACTTATATTTTGACAACTTGAAATTTTTTTGTCTAACTAATAAAGGCATCTAATGATGCAACTTGTTTTAGTTTTGTCTTTTGGAATTATTCCATAGTACAAAATGTGTTTGTAGTAGCTCAACATATATCTAGCAGGTTTGCCACCTGTCGTTTAATTCAATGAATATTTAAATTGATTGTCAAAAGATGAAAACCGCGTTGAATTTGTGTTTGAACTTGTATTAATCAAACGAAGTAGGATTACAATAAAAGATTGAAATGAGTAAGGTAAGTTATTCAAACGACTAGAATAATCAAGACATGTGTCATATTATTTTTAATCGCAAAATGACTTTGAAACATACTTTGTTTGGGTAGTCAATTACCTTTAGTCAATCATTAAAAAATTGCACAAAATTTTTTGTGATGAAAGTGCATACTTTAATAGTGCTAACTCAAAATATACCATTTTTTTGAGTTCTACAAATTTTTTGAAGTATATATTGTTAAACAGTTCAAACTAAAACGATTTATCTCGCTAACTAAATTTTCATTGTAACGCAATACTTAAATGGATCATTGTGTTAAAATACAAATATTTAAGAAGCCGTTGTCATAAAATTATGTATAGCTGGACAGTCAAGAAGCGACATGAGTTTAATTTTTAACAAAAAATCCAGCCATAAATAGCGAAACAAATTTACCCTACATTAAATGTTTATATTTTTCTAGCGGGATGGTTGAATTCAAAACTTTATATTGATCTTTTGGCTCCTGTATTATATGTGTCATCCATGACATTTGTTTTAAACCAAGGCTCTTTTTCTTAGCTTTTGAATAAAATTACTTAAAAGATGCTCATGCATACTCCTAAACTACTATAAATATTTTTTTAAATATTGAGAATGCAAAACTATGAATTTTTTGGATCTGAAAATTTGTTAATGCCCTCAAGAGTGACAGTGCCGTATGTCTAAGATTTTGAAATTTTGAAATCTTTCAAATACTTAGTACAAAATAAACTTTTAACAACCGCTGAATGTCTCACTATTCCAGAGTAAATTTTATTAGTTTTGCATTTTTGTTTTATTATGTGTGTAAAATAGTGTAAAAATAATCTGTAAATTGGAGGAAATAGTCTTGTAATTGTATCATCTTAAAAAATTTTTTAAAATTTGTTTTTTTTTTTAAGTTTAAGTATCGTAAGATTTCTGAATCTTAATGTACATCGTTTTTCGAGATAAAAAATTTAAATAATGCTAATTAACATTTTACGAGAATTATAACATACAAATTCGTAAGTTGGGTAGTTTAATCTATGGGTAAGCCCTTTTATTTTTGAGATTGTATTCAAACTTTTTTGCCCCAACTGTGACTTTATTTGTGTACTCGCATATTTTATATGAAAAAAAAACTTTTAACTTAACAACAGGCCAAAAAAAAAATTTAAGTTTCCTACCGTTCGATAATGTAAATTCGATTTTTCAACCTAATAGCATTATTCACAAAAAAGCTAGCTATTTTATAAGCATAAAAGAAGTTGACACATATTTTTTACATTTTTTAAAATTATTTAATCTCTGACTTGGTGAGATAGCTTAAAAACTGGATGAAAAAGACGTAATATGAAATATCAAAGATCGATGCATGACCTGATTTTTTGTCTTTCGTTTCCCAAATCACAGTAACCTTACTAAAATCGGGCTTTATATATATTTTCGAGAATCGAAAATATGTGGCAACTTTTCTTTTATTAATAAATTGCATCAATCAAAGTTTATCATAAATGTAACAATACTTTCATGGTATATTTTCGAATAGTTTACTTCACTCAGAGAAAAAAAACCATAATTTTAACCGTGATTGTCCTTACAAAAATTACCGTGCAGACGGTAATCGTGGGACAAAGCGACATCTTGGAACGTTTGACCTAACTTGGTCAATTTTTTCCGTGCTGAGCAGTAAAAATCGTCGGGTGCCCAACAAACCCCTCCCCCCCACTGCTCTTATATATAGATGGACTATTGCAGTGTAGCATCACTTGTTCAACTCGTCCATACTCGAATATAAAATCATAAAATAATTTGAAAAAAATTACACACGTTTCTCATAGTGTCTATGCAACAACAGTATTGATCCGATTATCAAAAACATTATCATTGATGCACGAATCATTCTAACCTAAAAACATGAAACATGCATATTCTGTCAAAAAAAGTCTATTATAAATTTTCGAAATTTGTATTTTTCTTCTTACAACATTGTTTAATCTGAATAGGTGTACAAATTTTCAGGTCATCATATTAAACGAAAAACATTTAAGGACCTATTTTGCTTAAGACGTAAACGACGAAGTCAATGTGTTTTACTAAATAGTTCCCCAATTGTTTTTAGTTCAATATCATAACCTGAAAATTCATAGACATATTCTTGAGACCTGATTGAACAATGTTGTGCCAAGAAAAATAAAAATTTCGAAAATTTATAACAGACTTTTTTTCACAGAAAATGCTTGTTTCATGTTTTTAGGTTAGAATTATTCGTACATCAATGATAATGTTTTTGATAATCAGATCAATACTGTTGTTACATAGAGACTATAAGAAACGTGTGTAATTTTTTAAAAATCATTTCATGATTTTATCTCCGAGTACGGACGAGTTGAACAAATAATGCTACATTACAATAACCTATCTATATATTAGAGCAGTTGAGGGAATTTTTTTGGTGGGTGCCCGACGATTTTTACCGTTCAGCATGGTAAGATCACAAGGCAGGTCAAAAAGTCCCAAGATGTTGCTTTGTCCCACGATTACCGTCTGCACGGTTATTTTTGTAAGGACAATCACGGTAAAAATTATGGTTTTTTTCTCAGTGTTTAGATGTATCTGTTTTCTACCCTATCGATCTTTAACTGATTCAGTGAGGGAGTATCAAACAATTAATTTGACCAGAAGGCAGCATGGTACTCGGCTTACCCATTGACGTCACAGCAAACCCCCACCACCTACGTAGGAGCTTTCCATGATGAGCAAAGACGAGGCATGCGGGGTAGGAGACATGACCCCACCATGGTTAGATCCCCCTCCCAACTTAAAGCGTGGAGAGAGGGCTCCCACACTTTTGAGTTACTAGAGAGGCTAAAAATTCTCCCTCTTGTTTAGTATGGGTATTCTTTTAATAATATTAATAGGTTTATTCAATATAAAGGGTCCAAAATATTTTATAATTTTTTTCATGACATGAAAATAAAATGTGACTTATAAGGACGTGGTGTGAATTTTCGATAAGTAACAACAAAGGTACATACGTTTATTAATTTATTTTAGAATTCAAAGTCTCTACAAGTGCAATTGTATGAAAAGACACAAAATTATATATTAAATCGCATACACATTCTTTCGTTAAATATTCGCATTTTGTCGTATC